TTTAAACTTACAAATATTTCATAAGGTAGATCCTCTCACTCTAGTTAGCTGCCAAGCCAAGTTGGTGTAGCCACTAAATGCAAGGTACCAGGCTGTATTACACTATAGACTTACTCACACCTACTCGATTTGTACTCAGAAATCCTTGTCAGATTAAGTGTTAACTGATGTAACCATTGAAATCCGTACTACTTCATCTAACTCAGAATTTCTACTATGCAGGTCCTCTGCCCATAGATCCTATCTTGATTTATTCATGTAATACAACTCTAACATTCTGTCACACTTCCAATGTCCGAACAACATTGGTGCAATGTGATTTACAGGGTTACAACCCCAGAAACAAACAGAGTTTACTGTAAGTTGGGTACAGATGTCTAGGTAATTATTCAATTCTGTCGACAGTGAGATATGAACCCTAGACCTCTTGTATGGTGGTCTGACAACCTATCCACTACACTAGATCGCTAGACCTTTACTTTTGTATGAATTAAAAAACACTTTATATTATTAAACTAGAACTTATTTTTATTAAACTTAAGCAAATTTTAAATCTCTATTGTTAAAAATAAGAGAGAAATTACGATTTGAAAAATACTATATAAATTCGAAAAAATTACAGGGTATGTAAAAAAATTTTATACCGATTTTTAATACATGATCTTCAATAGATTTGTAAATCTTATAATATCGCATACCCTAGTAGCACGTGGTTTCACCGGTTAACATTATACTCTAAATTTTATAATCTTCAATTCACTTTTAAAAAGAACTACCGGTCTGATTTTAATAATTTTACCGCTATTAGAACCGGAAAGATCTAATAAACAACTTTAATTAATACCAAAAAAGAGGTTTACTTAATAATAATATCTCTTTCGGAGCACTTTTATGTATTTTGGGAGATGGCATTAGCAAAAGTGGAGGTGGAAATAGCAACACTCTAATAATAATAATAATAATAACTTCAATAATGATATTATAAATAATACTCTTACAGTTAAACTAAATAAAAAAGTTAGTTACAGAAAACAAAGCAATTTAGAAGTTAGCTATTTATCGATCATCCCAGTATAAAATTTTTCAAATTTCGTGTAACGAAAATAAAGATTTTTTTTCATATCTCAAAAATTTGCTTATGAAACCACCTTCGATGTTCTAACAAAAAATTCCTTGCTAAATTTTGCATATTCAAATGCCTAGATAAAATCCCAGACCTCATCCTAACCCTAAAGTAAATGAAATGGGGGGTTTATTTTTTATCGTTATTAATTTAACATGTTATTGGTGATGATCTCCAGTGGTTATTCATTAAATATTCTAATCATAATAGTTTTTCTTTTTTGATTTCTCGCAATAAATTAATAATTTATAAAAAACAGACCTACATGAAAAATTATATCAAACGTTTTCACACCGATTTTGAAATCGATTTTTAGATTCACAATCCTAGTTTCGGTTTTCGGATATTCTTTCAGGTATGCGGAACATAACCTGATTAACCCGAAATTAATCTTAAACTGGCCATAAAGTTGGCTATCTTAGATTTTGTAACTTACACGAGGTCATGTAACTTTTTATAAATACAAATGTTGTTACCTTTAACGTTAATAAAAGTCAATGACACCCGTTTTATGAGACTGTAACACATGAAAACTGTAATATTATTATTATATGATAATCACGATAATCGCAATTAAAATTTGTGTAACACTAGCACACATCCGCCTTTGCTGAAAATATCGAAGCTGAAAGATATTCACTTCTGCAAAATTTAAAGACTTTAAGACAAAATATTCCATGCATTAAATAAGAAAATAACCCTATTTTATTATTTATAAAGTCAAATTTAAATAATAAAGTTTTCAATAGTTAACTAACGATATGGAGCTTTTTGTTTAATCTCCGTATAATGATAATTGTGCCATAAACGTCAATTACATAACGGTAACCTTGTGTTTGTGCAAATTGGGTAACCAGTTTTTGTACCAGTATGTTTTAAAGCTGGCGTTTTCACTTATTTGTTCTGCTCCTGAGGGATATCTTGAAACTAAAAATTATTAATTTATTTAATAAAAAGGATTCTGATCAATTTTATTTTCACCATTTTATTAATTTATTTTATAATAAGTCATGGAGTTTCTTGAGGCCGTTGCCGATATTATTCCGCTTAGTTTAAAGGTAGAAGTGGTCTCCAGTGATGGAACTTCGACACCATTTAATTTAGACGAGCCAAATTATAATGATTTTCCTTCAATGTCATTGGACCAAATGCGTGAATACCTATACAAAAAAGGCTTGATAATTGGCCGACAAAACACAAATTTTCGAAATGTATTCGGAAGCAAGATACCACTCGCTCGAGAACCTGAATGTGAACTCAAAGATATTTTGACTCCGACAAATGAACAAGCGCCGGATGGCTTTTTTACTATTTACCTAGATAAAGACTTAGAAATGCCCAGTTTTCCTGAAATTGTTCAAAAACTTGATTTAGATAAAGGATGTAAAAAGTCGAACGATGGTACTATTAAAGCAACGAATAAAAAAGCTTATTCCATAAAAAATCAGAACATGAACTGTACATTTAAAAAACATTATGTACATTCATTAATAAATTTCGAATGTTACGTGTAAATGTGCTATCTTATAAATTAATCTTTTAAAAAAGTTAGATATAAGACCAATAATATGTACTCGGGTACGGAAAACGATAACTATGTGAATAAATACTTAGAGACTTATCTGAAACTAAATTCGAAATTTCTAGACTAATTCAAAAGATTCGAACTTTTTAAACTCTGCTAAGAATATAAGATTTACTAATTGATTTTGTTGATGAATTTTAAAAATACAATAATTTAATATATATATAATATGGTTTCATAATCTTAAATAGGAATATAAGAGAAAGCACAAATTTGCATGTTGGATTTTAAAGAAATATCGTAGGTTAAATATAAACTATGAAAAAAATCTATACATACGTGGTTAATTATCTTAGACAATAACATAACCAATAGAGGTATTTAAATTTTGAGACTCATTTTCTAGTGATTTTAAAATTGGATACTTCTTATGAATGTTTAAAAGAATAGGATTATCATCATCAGAACAATGAATACTTGCAAATATACGTGTTGGAAATGGATTCAATTCCCATCGATTTCCAGTAAAAGTGCGACTATTTCTTAAGAGGAATTGAAGTCTGCAAGGTCTATATTCCAAATTATGTTTGACTGGGTTAATAACTCTGAATAGATTAGGTGTGTTTACAATAATAACATAATTAATTTCGAAATTCAATGTATGATTAATTTGTTCATTCAAGAGATCATACTGATAACAACATATATTTGTAGCATTATCTGGTTGATTTCTGCGGAAATG